TTATTACTTATCTATGTATTGTTTTGTCTCGCTTTAGTCGGAATATACATTTATTACGTAATATATCATGGTATTGTTGGAAATATAGCATTTCTTATTGTTTACGCTGAAATGAAAATTGAAATAATTGTCTTCTGTCAATTCTTATTTATGATAAGACAAAGATTGTTTTTAATTCGTGACTATTTAAGTAAAATATCATTTGATCGGCAATACAGAATGTTTATGCAGATTTCGGAACCTGATGTGGATTTTAATTTTATTGGGCATATTTCTACAAATAATTTCAGGATTCGTGACTTGGCTTCTTTGTATTGTAAAATAGGAAAACTATGCAACTTAATTAATGATATTTTTAATTATTTAATGTTAGTGACACTAGCCATCGCTTTCTTTGTTATTTTATCAAATGTATGGGTATCTCTATACTATTCAAGATTGATTCATAACTTTTTGGTTTCTGTGACGTTACTGTTAAGTAACCTTTTCGAATTTCTTTTTGTAATCCTTTTAGCATATCATTGTGGAAATGTTACTGTTGCCAGAAATGAGCTAAAATACTCTTTGTACGAAATCAGTAAGAAAAACGACTCACCGTTGTTTATGAGAACTCAAGCGGAGATGTTTTTGGATTTAATCAAAGTATGGCCCATGTCCATTTACGTTTTGAATATGTTTCCAGTGGACTTAAAGTTAGTCCTTAAATTTATTAGTATTTCCACCACCTACGTAATTATTGTCGTGCAAATCAATCATCTATTTTATTCTAATTAAATTAAGACAGGCGTGAATTGGGAGCAATGCCGCGTTTCTTCTGATGAGTGTGGTGCCAGAGGCCCAAGTTTAGTCCCCTTTCCTTCCTATCCTTTTTTATAAGAAAAGGATGGGAAGAGAACGTGGATTTGACGCTGAAGATGACACAAAGGAAGAGCAATATCCTCTTTATGTGCGTCTCCTTCGTCCATTAAGGATAGGCAACGCACCAACTATTGTCGGCAATGTTTGCTTCGCCATTTGTGCTGATTAAGGTGGCCGCTTTTGCATTTGCCATCTTATAATATATAAAAAAATCAGTTATCGGAATTCGACAATAGTTTTATGCATTTCATATACGCTATCAATTAAACTGTGATAGGTTTTACGTTTATGTGTTAGGGCAATTTTTTAAAGAGGTACAACTTTCCGCTTCACATATTAATATAACGATACAAGGTGCGATACATTTGGACGAATAATAAGTAGTTAACACATTCAGTGCCGATCACTCCGTGGAAAGCACCATGACTATTGTCTTGCTCCACTCATTTCTACATACGATAACAGAATTACTTACTTGTTTTTCTCATTTAATTATTTCGAAAGAAAAATTGAATTGTATGTGTTTTGTCTTTTTTATATATGATTAAACAAAGAATACTGTAAATTAATAATTACTTAAGCAATATTACAGTCGATCACGGTAATGTTTTATTTAGACAACATAATGTAAATCGATTGGACATCAACTTCTTTGGGAATATATCCAATACAAATTACAAAGTACGTCACTTAGCATCTGCATATTGCAAAGTGGGAAAGGTTAACATATTAATTAATAAAATTTATAACAGCTTAATGTTAATGACGCTTGTAACAGCATTTATTTTTATTATAATAGCGTTATGGACCATCTTATACAG